AGAATTTGTCTGTCATAAGACAAAGGATATTTTTATTTTTATTTATCAGAAGTGTTTTGTTTGGAATTAGTTCCCAGTCCCTAAAATAATCACTTCCGGTGTAGGTACCAGATCTGCTCGGGGCCCTGCCCCTTCTTATGACGTCAACATATGGCAACTCCACTCGGACAAACTGTATTGCCTTTCTTAAGGATCAAACCTCTTTTGGATTCTCAACATATTATTACCTATATTTGCTATTATTTTACATTTCATTGGCGATCTAAAGTAGCTGAAAGTAGAAAACAATCATTGTCAGTCTTGAAGGAAAGTACTGTGTTCTAAGAATGAACTGTGCCATTTACCTTGGTGACAAAAAGTCTTTGCTTATTTTTATTCTTTTTATTAAGATCTGTGGACAGGGGAGGATAAATGGGACATCTTACTTTTGTAGAGAGTTTAGACAAATGAAACAGTTATTCTACTTGTAGAAATTGAACGATTGTTGTTGACACAAATTTAAAAGTACAGTGAACCCTCGCTATAACGCGGTTCACTATTCACGGTCTCGCTGCTTCACGGATTTGCATCATGCATTGTTAAACTTTATTGTCAAATATATTAATGGTGGGATGTCGGTTTATAAGGATATTTTGGCTCAGAAGAAAAAAGAGCGACAACAACTACCGATAACTATGTTCTTCTCTCCAAAAAACACACCTGCTCCGCAGGCTTTAGAAGAAAAAAACGCCACAGAGCAGAGTCAGGATGCAGCGGCTCCGTCAAACAGCAGTGAAATACTGTCCTGTACACGTCACTATTTGTCCTGCTGTACTTTGTATTTGTTTTCATAATCATTTTTCATTTTCTCCAGTTCCAATCCGTCACAGCGGGGCGGTGTTGATCCCCGCAATATTAACCCTTCATTTCGTATTGATGATTAAAATTATTACTTATTTATTGATAAGTTAATTATTTTACAGTACAGTACAGTAGTTATTTGTTAAAAAAAAAAAAAAAACAGACAACAACAACGTTTATACCGTACTCTTATTTGTTTAACAAATGCTTGGGCCTGTAAAAAGTTTTTGTTCCTTGATTTCAATGTTGTATGGAGTATTTCATTGTATGGTAACTGTAAAAAAATAAAGGTTTCTACTTCACGGATTTCACCTATCGCGGGTTCTTTTTGGAACGTAAAACGAGATAAACGAGGGTTCACTGTAGTGTAGCTTGATATTGCTAACTGACTGTGGCTAACCTGTTAGCTAGTAAGCACAACTAGCCACAGAACTACTCAGTTCTCCCCCTTCATATCATGGTCTTGCAGCTACTGTGTTCACCATAAAAAGATTTTTTTCAGTTATGTTATCGATCAGGTAAAACTTCATCGGTCATTAGACACACTAACGCTACAGATGCTCCCAACACTCGGCACATCAATCCTGTGTGATTTGCTGTCGTTGTCTGGGCAACCATAATCTTTTAAATCATGTGGCAATGTTCAGCCAATCGTGTATCGTAACGTCACTGGCATGAAGCAGGACCCGATCAGATCTGACCACCCGAGCAGATCTGATACCTACACCAACAGAGAACGGCTGGCAGAAGTCTGAGCTCCTGAATCGGATCAACCGTGAGATCGGTGCCGCCAACTCAGCGGAGCTTCAATGTTCGGTATCAAACTAAATTTCCTGCAGCAACTCACTGCATATTTCAAAGTTCTCACCTCATCAATCCAATCAGCTCTCTGACAACCAGTCGCCTTTAAAACTTGTTGAACAGAGCATCACTTTGGACAGATATGTACAGGTTTCACTAGCAACTTCATCCCGACACCTTGTTGTCAAAGTAGTTCTAATCCGCGCATGGTGCATGAATTATTCTACTGCCAGCACTCTCTCACTCACATTAAAAAACCCCACCTTGCATAGTCTAAAATCCGGGATAATTTATCCGACTCGTGGGCAACTATCTATACCCGGGAGACTCCTGGAACTTCCGGGCATTCCTTGGGATGTCGGCGTTGTCAAGAAGAGCCAGCGCCCAAAATTCTGCAGGCAACTGTTTAGAGAGCTCAGTGACAGCACTAGGGCACTATTTCGTAATTCGGATATCTGAAATGTAATTCTGATTAGTCAGAATTACCTTTGAGGCAAGGCAAGGCAAGGCAAGACAAGGCAAATTAATTTTTATAGCACAATTCAGTTAGAAGACAATGCAAAGTGCTTTACATGATTAAAATATAGGAAAATAAAACACAATCAAAGCAAGTAGGAAAAAAAATGCAGAAACAAAAAAGAACATTAAAAACAGTTGAACTAAAGAAAATAAGAAAGTTTAACTAATGAGGTTTCAGTGGAACTGTTTAACTAGAACGATATCTTGATTGAGATATCTTGATTGTAATTACAGATGTGTGACAGTCTAAATGACTAATCACGTGACGTCATTTGAGATATCTCAAAATACATTTTGACTTCAAAATGTAATTGAAGATATCTTGAATTGTTATTATCACGAGCCATAATATATTTTCACATATTTTGAATTTCAGAATAGTGAGAATTTATTTTTTCCTAATAAAAACCTTTTCTTTGATATGAAAAGTAATTACGGATAGTCAGAAGAAGTTGATTTTATGATAAAATGGCCTGCCATAAGAGAACTGACACCAGAACTTCCCCAATATGGCAGCGGTGACCATAGATATCCATAATAAAGGCTAGATGTCTTACGGCAGAGTCTCAAACGTCATCACCGGCGGCCATCTTGCCTCAGGCAGGCTTTCTGTTGTGCTCTGTGGTACCTAATGTAAGGTGAGTGATCAGCACGAACACAAATACTCTTATCTCACTGAATTCTTGACGGATTTACAAACAGTTTGGTTTCTTACAAACATTATGAACGTGGCTATAATTCTAGATGCTTGAACATGTCGAAATTGCAGATTTTCTTGTCGAAAAATGACTTAATCATGCAGCATAGTTGTGCATCACGGCTACTTGCGCAAGTTATCAAGGCTAGACTATTAGTCAATTATATAGGTTTTACTGACACCAATAACGATTGTATGACAATTAATCTTTGGTGTAAATTACAATCTTTCTGGATGTGGTTGTAGTTATTAGTTGGCTAATAACAATAATCTGAGTGTTGTTGTATTTTCATTATTAGCCTAACGTTAGCTGGCTAATAACAAGAAGCTGCAAAGTGAGACCTAACGTTAGTAAGTTAGCAGCTAACGTTACAGTTTAGCTAGCTGCTAACGTTAACAAGCAACTTTACATCAGTGGAAGAGGCAGAATTTAACATGATTTCCAATCGATTTGGTCTGTCAACACATCTTACATTATGTTACAGGAATTTGCTGGGTTTATTAAAAGGAAGATGCCAGACTTTTGCTATGACATAATAGTATTACAAGATTGTTGTTGACTCAAAGCTTTTATAAGTTTGTATTAGTTTCATTTGGACAACTTAAAGATGGTGTTGTGCCAAACATTTTCAACTTTCCAGCTCATCTTCAAAGGGCATGTGTATCAATGAAATTTAATCACATATTGATATACCAATCTTATACACTGTGAATTGTTGTTGGTCACTTTTGTTTTTGTTTCTGCAGGTTATATAATGTGTAAGGAGGAGGAGAAGATCTTCCATCCCCGTTTGCTGACATTCCTGCACTAGTACATGACCACAGCTACCTTCCTGTCCGCTTTGATGGCCTTGTGGACAACGCTCTCTTGTACATTACACAGAAGCTCAATAAAACCGTCCTTTTCAAAGGGCATTAGCCAAGCTATGTTTTTTGGGTCATTTTTTAAATCTCTGTCTTCCATGTGTATACCATCACAGTAGTGTAGGTGGGGATTTCAACATGCTACATCTATATATACTTGTGAAGGGGACTATTGTACCAATTTTAATAGCAAATAAATGTCACTTTTATAATGGTTTAAAAATAGGAACTTTTGCGTAATTACCCCTGATATATAATCCGAATAGTCTACATGAAACTTCAAAGTGTTACCTTTAATTTGAAACCTGGATTATGCTGCTACACCAAGAGGTTGCCACACAATAAGCCTTTTCTGTCAGTATTCCATATTTTATTATAACAATAATATTCATATTATAAAAGTATGTATGTAAATATAAATAAATTAGGACTGTGAAATAATTAATCACACCCAAATAAAAGTGTTTATATATATATATATATATATATATTTATATATACATACATATTTTTATATATATATATATATATATATATATATATATATATATATATATATATATATACATACATACATATTTTTATATATATATATATATACACATATTCAAATATATATATATATAAATATGTATATATACATATTTATATATATTTACATAATTTTATATATATATATATATATATACATACACACACATATTTATATATATAGGTATCTATATCTATATAGATATCTATATAGATATCTATAGATATATCTATATATCATGTTGCCATTCAGTACACTGAGTTTTATTAGCATATATTGATTTAACATACATACCTTGTGCATGTGTATATTTATTGCACCTGTATGTTCTATTCAATGTTCTTTTCATATGAAATACCATGGTTATAATTATTCATACGTGTGCAGTATCATAACTACATGTCTGACTTTTGTTTAACAAACCAAACAATTAGACAATTGAGGAAGTTATGGTTATTTAAGTACATGCGCCTTTAAAACACAATGTTACGAATGAGCGAGCTGCCTGTAGCAAGATGGCCGCCACGAGCGGACGTCGACCCCCATTGGCCAGCAGCGCCGACGAGACATCTAGCCTTTATTATGGATATCTATGGCGGTGACGCAACAGCTGACATTTCCCGCTCATTCATTTTTGCTGTGTCACTGCCCATTTTGGCGGGATTTTTAATCTAACCTAATGGTAGAAAGACGGAAAAATGAAGCTCAAATAAAGTTTGGTCAAAAAAGGAAGACACTTTCCAAAAGTGGATAAACTGTTGGACAGCTTCAGTCAGAGGTATTTGGTGAGTAGCAGCAACAGCTTTGGGTTTTTTAAAGAAAGTATGGATTTACTGTACATCACAAAGCAAATTTGCTCTTATAAACGAATACATTTTCTGATTTATTTTTAAACATATCTCACATCAGCAGCTCCGGCTATAGACTAATTAAACTCCTCCAGGTAATCTGTAGTTTCCCCTTTGTTTCTGTTTCAGGTAAATATTTCGGTGCTCCTATCTAATCCATTCTGGTCACACGTTTCTATCAGCTCGGCTGGTCTTTGTCCACAAAGTTTTAAAAATATAGATTTATTTCTAAACTCAAATCTGAATATTCAACAAGTTCTGAAACAGAATTTCATCAGGAAAAAAGTGATTTAATCTAGTTAAATTAAAACAATTATAGATAGATAGATAGATAGATAGATAGATAGATAGATAGATAGATAGATAGATAGATAGATAGATAGATAAACCTGTTGTAAAAAAGAAGCTGGGTAATTCAATTCAATTTCAATTCAGTTTATTTAAATAGCACCGGTTCACAGCACATCATCTCAAGGCACTTTACAGACCATTCAACCAGATCATACAGTCTGATTGTTTCGAAGTTCGTTATGTAAGGAAATGATGTCATTCTGATGAGTTTGGTGTCGCTAACATGGATGTTTTTCTCTGTTTGTCTCAGAGATGTCTGACATTCCATCAAATGAATGGAAATGTTCCCTGACCAAAATACTGCTGGACCATGATGACGAACAGTATGATTCAGTGCTGGAATACCTGAACAAAATCCCAAAAAGTAAGAAGAATATAAGGAATAGAGGAAAAATGGCTCAAGTAATCATCGAGTACTACGGAGAGGAGGAGTCTATCATTGAAATGAGAGATATCATGGAGGAGATTCCGCGGAGAGATGCTCCTGTTCAGAAACTGCTGCGTCCGTTTGTGGAGAAACTGGAAGAAAAGGATAACAGTGAGTTATTTATTCAGGTTCTCAGTGTTTAACATGGGATTTTAGGAGACTGTGGTGGGAGAGTCTCTGACCCTCAGGGGTTTTCATGTGTGCACTTTTTTAAGCGTGGTGTATCCCATTTAAAGGGGAACACTGTTTTTTTTTTACATTGGGCCCTTGATTTTACATTATTACGTTATAACGTTATTATGTTATAACGTTATTACCTTATTATCTGGCCGCGCCGGCTACCGTTCATTCATCCTGTCCTCTGCTGCTAGTTTTCCTCACATGCCTGGAAGATGTCTAGTGCTGCTACCACAGATGATCTCGCTCTCTAAATGGAATTGAACGATTCAGATTAGCTCGCTGAATGAATAGAAGGAGTGGAGCGTAGCCGCCTGTGGCCCGGGCTGCCTGTCACAACTCCAGTCCGGCGCGCGGACGATGTCATACACACCTGCTTTGTTCTAAAAAAATATAAATATAAAAAATATAACTGCGGATGTCTGGGGGACAGTGATTCGCCTTCATGTTATGAATGCTGGCATACCATAAAGAATAAATTATAAACAGTTTAGTTTGTGCCTCCAACTCGTTGCCCATAGGAAGACGTTAATTGGATATAACCTAACGGAATATCTTCAGAACGGCTCCAAATGACACAAAACTCATATGGGTGAGTAGAACATGATGGAATAACGTAAAATCAAGGGCCCAATGTAAAAAGAAAACCAGCGTTTCCGTTCAAGTGCATTTTTGAGGCCACTTTTTTATCTTGGAGAGGAAAAAACAATGGACAAGTTGATTAAGTTACTGTTGATGTGCGAATCAAATGCCGTTTTTTAAGAAAAAAACATTTCAAATTCAGTCATTTATTTTAGACCAAATAACATTTTACATTTACACCCTGAGGGTAAACATGCTATGGCTCTGACTGCTGCGCTGAGAGGGAGGGACTCCTGCGGAAGCGGGAGAACGGGGTTGGTAAGGGGGAGGCGCCCCACGGCAGCGCCTGCTGCTGGAGAACAAGAGTAGGAACAATACGTGCTTTCACCTGAGAGTCTCCTAAAGGTGCCAGTGACACCAGAAAAGTCTAGATTTGTCGCTAGTTGCTTTTTTGAAATAACAATCGATGGAGGGGTCTGAAAAGTCGCTAAATATAGCGACAAAGTCGCTGAGTTGCCGACACTGGCTAACCCGGCAGCCGGGGCGGCATTTTTATAAAGGAGGGTGAGAAAAAACAATTAGTCTCTCTATGGCGCTGGGATACGGGCGGTATGAAAGTACAGCTGTGGAACGGTCTGATAAACTGACAGATCTTTTTGTTGTTGTTGTTTTCTCTCTCTCTGTGTCTGTATGAGACTGTGGCGGGCCCAAACGAGACTGTGGAGTACCGCCACAGTCTCGTTCATTAATGGGAAACACTGCGGTTCTGGGTTCTGGACCCTGCTGGGCTCCAGGATCCGGAACCCATTAAGAACAGGAGGGTTTAGAGATTAGTTAAGTTCTTCTACATCAAAGAGCGGTTCAGAAACTGACCATCTTAAAGCACTATGGCAACCGATTGATTACCTGGTTACCATGACAATTTGTCACTGAATGGAGGTGCGATGAGAGACTCTTTAAATCAGGACCTCTAACCCCCACCTTCCAGAACCTACAGGATCCGCTGTTGGAAGCTCAGAACCAGATTTTAGCAGAACCTCATATCCTAAAGAATCAGAGAGGAGATCAGGATTGTTCTGATGGTCCTTCAGTATCAATGGTTGGATGTTTATAATGGTTATATTATATTCATGATATATATATATATATATATATATATATATATATATATATATATATATATATATATATATATATATATATATATATATATATATATATATATATATATATATATTTATTTATTTATATATATTTGCTGGTGTTTTAATCCCAGTTTAAACTGTGATTTACAGCAAAGAAGAGGAACAGAACTGACCCAGAGGACCAGCAGGACTCTCCAGCTGGTGAGTGGAATCCAGAACTGTACAATTAAAAGTGTTTGAAATATCCCACACTTCACATCCTAGTTTTACTACAGAACCTCAATCTTTAATTTAATTTGTTTCCTTGATGAGCTCAATGCTTTGATGATGCTAGAGCTCCACCTGGTGGTTAGAGAGGGTAACTCAACCACTATGAAAGACTGCATAATAACGTTTCTTAAAATACATAAACTGTATATAACCTTTTAGAAACAAGGAATAGAAACTTTCCAATGAACAAAATATAAGCATCTGTAGAAGATTTAAACCTTTGGAGAAATTTTTTTTTGCAGTGAATAGTGAAATAAAGTATTAAGATAAAGTGCAGCTTTTATTGAAGCAGCAGATTAAATGAGTTGGGATTTTATGTGCGTGTGATCTTGTTTGTGTGCGTCTCAGGAGGGGTCTGTGTGTGTTAAAACATGAGAGGAGATATTTCTTCACCTGTCCACCCTCTAAAATGAATTCAAGAAAGGTTATCAAAGGACCATGAAACACACATTTTGTGTTTTTGGGTTTGTGTTCACTGAGATTTTTTGGAATAGATCATTTTTTTCGTTGACGAAAGGACTTATTTGAGCATCAGTGTTTGTACGGTGTGTGTGCAGAGTAAAGGCTGATTTATACTAAACCAGGGTCGTCTGCATGTCCGTCGCAGTGAATGCAAATGTGTCTCCGCCCCCTTCTACAGACCTCTCCAAAATTGTAGGTGACTGCAGACAGGAGGCCTCTGATTGGTCAAATCTACATCTGCTCTACACTATGCGTATTTCCTGTTTGGTACCTTAGCGGCTTGTTTTGTTTGTATGACCGCCATTGTGGAAAATGACCCGTGAAGATGGACCAGCTAGAAGAGCGAGGTGCGCGAGAACGATGGGACCCTTTTTCCACTCCGCTCTTTTTCACCCTCATGTCCCTGTATTGTCGCACAAACTTGCCCCCACTTCTAGACCCACAGCTAGTTCCTGATTGTCCCTCTTGCATTGTGGCGTGGAATAACATAGCACAGACCACGCTTCAATATTGGGCATAAATCAAAAATATCTGCAACAAGCTCACTGTGATACACTGCTGCAGAAGGATAAGACCTTAAGTCCATGAAGCACAGTTCCCTGAATTTGTGTCCTTGACGGATGTAACAGTTCATCATCTGACCAACAAGGCAGCGGAGCCTCATATTTAAATGTCATCCCGTGAGAGCTGAGTAGAATTTCAGATAGAGGCTAATTGTTTGAGTCAGCTTGGCTGTCAATTTTCTCTGCCAGCCTTCAGAGTTTTTGCTGGAGTCTCAACATGGTGAAACCCAATAGAACAGATTTATGGTTCTCTCCTCCAAGATCCCAGCTTACAACTTTATCCAAGATTATACCATTTTACCTCTGAGACCAGAAACCGCATCCAGCCTGCGATCCTGTGTAAGGATCGCATCCAGTTTATGGCTCTGCTCCCTTATCATCTCAGTCTGAGTTTTAATAGCCAAAGCAGCCTCCAACATCTTCCAAATTTCACGATATGCCAGGTATTCATCAACTCCAAACAGTAGAAATCCTAGAGGCACACAATCTTCCACTACTTCAAAGAATCCATTGTGTATTCGGAGAAAAAGTACCGCCTGGACAGGAGGGTTATTTCTTACCCTGTGTTCCTGTTGAAAAGCATTGATCAATTGCGTTAAGAGACCAGCTGACCAGATCCATGATTCAGTTTGTAGATTTGGTAAGATATGTGAAGAGGCTTCAACAGATGACAAATGTTAAATGGCCTGTACTTGCATAGCGCTTTTTAAAGTCAGGAGACAGGTGTTATGCACCTAAAGCAGCAGAGGCAGCAGAAGCAGCAGTTTACATGCATAGTCAATGGTTGATGCGCATCTTGGTACAGGAAAAGGCCCCGCAGCGCAGCTTCTGAGCATCTGACGTGCGGGACACGCTGCAAAAGCAGCAGCTGCAGGAGCTGGAAAAATTTAACATTTGCTGCTCGACGTGCCACATCAACCAATCAGAGAAGCTGATCTGGGAGCTGGCAGAGAGACAGACACACCTCTGCTAACCCCTGAAATAATTTGTTAATGCCTAAACTAACTTAAAATGCTGAAATCAGCCGGAAAAATATGTTTGCTTTTATTATCCTGGTGCCTGCAGTTTGGATAAAATACAAGAAAAACGCTAACATCTCCTTCCAGCTTCCAACCATAGTGCTCTTCTCCTTCTTTCCCATCGCCCGGCTTGCCACAGGTTTGCCTGCTGTGTCTAAAAGTAGCAGCAGCAGCAACCCAGACTGACAGCAGCTCATTGGATCATTTGTATCACGTGTAGCCTGGTGCCAGACGCTCTGGAGGGCTTTACCGTATTAACAGGAGAGGCGGAGCAAGTGAAGTTAGACTGTCTTCGGAAAACATGCCATAATTTATAAATGTTTTAAATCAGGTTGGTTCTGGTTTAGCCAGCAGGTGGGTCCAGATCCAGACCCTAGTCTGCTAATCCATGACCTCTGCTCTAAAACAGGCCTTTAGCTGACAGAGTGACCCACCTTTAGCTGCAATTATACCAAAATTGTAAAAAAAAAAAAAAAAAATTTAAACATTTTGTATTTAACTTAAAAAACTGTTTCTTCTGTCAATATTCTCTATCCAGAACTCTTCAAGTCGAAAGGTTTTAGGTTTACCTGGTTTGATTTCGTAAAAAGTCTTCTTTAAGGAACCTTTTGCTATTGCTAAAGAACTGACAGATTAATTGATTTGCAAAAAAATCATTAGTTGCAGCCCTACTTGGGTATAAGGACCCAACCTGGTGATAGAAGTTAGCTGACATGCTTTCCTTTTATTAAACAAACCACATGATGCTGTTTTATATTGAAGGGTTATTCTTAACTAGGGCTGGGCGATATAGAAAAAAAGCTTATCGATAAAAAAAAATGCATATTGATCGATATCGATAATTATTAAAAAGATTTGAAACCATATTTTAGGTGCAGCTCTGCCTGGACTTTTTATGATATTGCTAAATTATTTAATTTTAATAAAGAACACAAACACAGACTTCCAATTAAATGTTTATTTAACCAACTTTTTTAACCATAACAGAATTGTTTTAAAGAAAAATAACTTAAAAGACCTGGGTTATGTTATTAAATACTGACAAAGAATAAACTAAAGTGACCAGACAAGTGACCAAAATAAATATAACAAATAAATAAATAGAATACCCTATTTGGGTGGGAATAGTACACCACCAGCTTGTGGTAATTAAAAGATTGTAGGACTAGGCTACCATGGAAACTCCACTCAACAAGAACAAAAACCCAAATCAACTCACCCTTTAGCTTAGCATTTCTATGGGGTATTTTTTCTCACCCCTATTCTTCTAGAGGTGCTGCTGGCACCTCGTTATGGTTCAGCTTAGTTTCCTGCTTTAACCTGAGTTATTACTTTGAAGTTTCTGGCCCCTCAGCATTTTTCTCTCAACTGTTAGAACTACGTGGGAAACTGCCCAGAACTGAAAATATATATATATTTTCCCGAAATTCCCGAAGTTTCCTCGGAGGAGAGCCGCGCCGGGGCCTACACAGCTCGTACTGCTGCGGGTGTGAGCGGCTGAGATGATAAAAAAAAGTTGGTTGTGTTATCAGACTTCGTTTTCACTGGTTCCCTACGCATTTTACAGATGACTGTGGTTTGTTTTTGGTCCGACTTGCCATGACCGAAATACTGCCAGACTGCCGAACTACAGAAACCCTTCTTTGGAACAATTTCCTCCGCCTCTCCTTGCTGCGACATCTTCATGTGCTCTGTGTTGTGGTTTGAGAGGGCGGCGCTTTGTGATTGGTTGGGAGGAAGTAGTGACTAGCATAAACCTACATGCTAGGCTACAATGAGAAGGAAGGAAAACTGCGTTTCTTTATCCAACTTTTATCTAACCTCTTTTTTTCTATTGCGCCACATGTCTATCGATCGATATATATCGTTATTGAATTATCGCCCAGCCCTATTCTTAACCCAAATGAAAACATAAACCTGCCCACAGACACATTAACAAAAACAGAATGAGAAGAAGAGAGCAGGGAAAGTGTGGACTGCTGGAAGAACTTTGGTGAACTGGGGAAAGAAAAGTGAAATGGTGCTCAAAGATGACACTGCACATTTAGAGGATGTTTGGCTCAACCTGCTGCTGTGAAGCAGGATATGATTAAAAATGTCTCTGAACCTTTACTGGTTGTTGATTTTCTTTATTCAGAACCCGCTGATTTTCAATTAGTTACTCCTTTTAGAGTCTCTACACTCCATTTAACGATTCATTGATAACTAAATGAGTTGATGATAATTTCAACAATTGATTAATAAAATTAATTGTTTCAGCCCTAAACCCAAGATAACATCAGGAGAAAACACTGGATATGTTCAGAACTCTGGGATTCCGTTCAAAATGTTGTAATGCCATAATGATGTTTTGTTATTTATTTGGAGTTCTTGTGATCTGTGCATCATTTATAGCCTTTTTCCCACATGATGACTGAGGGAAATAAGATATAAGGTTGGAATGTGTCGAAGGAGAGACGTACGATGACTTCTGCTCCTTCGCTCTAGCATCGTCTGGGTCAGGAAGAACCTTGCTGTTGTGGCACTGACTGCGAGAACAGACCATTTATTGACATTAACACTCAGATCATTTATTTAAGGCATCATTTCTGTACATTTAACCAATTCTAAACTTGGCATGCTTGAACACAATCTGTACTCACCGTCAACATTTTTATCTTAAAGGGAAGAAGAAGAAAATCAATGGGACCCAATCAAAGCCCGAGAAGAAGAAACTGAGGTCCTCAGCTGGTAGGTGCAGACAGGAGATCTCTGTTGATCTGCTTTAGCCTTTGAATAGCTGAGCTGAGGTCTGACCTCATATCAGAATCTGCTGACCTGCTGTTGATCTGCTGCTCTTCATGTTTCAGCGTTTGAGAAGAACAACAACATTGATTCAGACTCTTCAAATGAAGAAAGTGAAGTTGGTGAGTTTAATAACAGAACCTCATACTATGAACATTAGAGACAGAATCATGTGAAGATCTTCCTAGAAAACGAAACCTAGATCTTCAGTCGTCTTCTTCTTCTTTTACAGATGATCCAGAAAGTCCGCAGTCAGAAAAGGTAGCTGTGATCAGAGTAATAACATTCCTTCAAAGGCAGAAATGGTTTCTGAGTCTGATTGGATTTAATGTTTATAAATATTTTTTCTGATAAACGGGAGACATGCAGCATAAGCAGAGTCATGGGCTGCTTTAAATATTTGTGTACTTGTGTGTTCTCATGTGCTCGTGAAACGTCATCAGCTCAGGCCTAGCACTGTTCACAAGAACACAAGACATAGAACGGTCATGGTCCCTGGATGTTGTTCTCGCCCCTCCCTTTTTACCCAGCATGCATCAGAGCAAACTTGTCTGTTCTTCAGATTGACAGCTGTCCCAGCATGCACCGCAGCAGCAGCAGCTTTCAGTGGAGCGCTCACAGAGCTCAGAGTATTAAGTTAAAAGTTCTCTTTTCTGTTGCTGTTGTTCTACAAAATTACATTTTAAGCTCAGTTGAGGCGAAAACATAATTTTAAGCATCACTATATGCGCCATTTACCGATTAAATTTTAAAAAGTTCTGATGCTGAGAAGAAGGTGGTAGCAGGTGGACCTCCGAGGCTAACGGCAGCCAGGTCTAACATTAGCTGCAGCAGCCCTCTCTCTGCATAGCCTCTAGGGGTGTAAATCACATCCATCATGGCAATTCGATTCAGTATCGATTTCCTGACCCAACGATTCGATTATTTTCGATACTCAAGAATACACCATGATACAATTCGATTAATCGATTAATTTTTTTTTTTATTATTATTTTTTTTACACCTTACAGGCTAAACAAAGTTTCAAGTTTGAAATAAATCAATGAAAGCTGTAATATCGTTATGCATTTTTTTTTTTTAGAAACAACAGCAAATAACAGAAGTAGAAAAGTTGCATCAAAAAATACTGCAAAAATACTGCACAATATCAGTGTAATGAGTTCAATGCAATACCTCGGCTCCAGAAAGTCAACGCCCCCGCCCCCTTGAGAGACGCTCCGCTGCTCGTCTCCCAAATTGTAGCTGACTGCAGACAGGAGGCCGGCTTGTTTTGTTTTTATGACTGAAATTTCGGAAAACAACTCGTGAAGTTTGACCCGCTAGAAGAGCGAGGTGGGCGAGAACGCTGGGACCCTTTTTCCAGCTGGATCTCCGCTCTTTTTGGCCCTCATGTCCCTCGTAGGACTAAACTCGCCCCCACTTCCTCGCCACCTCGGCCGTATCTTGACCCACAGTGTGTAGCTCAGACCACGCTTCAATATTGAGCATAATTTAAAAATGTCTGTGTCAAGCTTACTGCAACTCACTGCTGTAAGAGTGTAACCAGGAAGCGAGATAGGAGGACAAAATAGGTTTAGCGCCACCGCAGCACGGGAGGGAGAATTACGTCCAGGAGCAAATGGATAAAAATGGACCAGAGGGAAAAAAAAAACATGAATCGATTATCTTGCGGACGTGTCGATGCATCGGATCGTCGGCTGTTGGATCGATGCATCTATACAAAACGATTATTATTTACACCCCTAATAGCCTCGTGTGTGAAGAACTGCTGGCTCTGATGGAGTTTTTTTTATTTATTTGGCAAAACATTAATTTGATTTGTGTTTATCTGAATATGTTAATTATTATTCCCTCACTACATGAAAAAATGAATAATTTATTATTATCTAGAGTATTAATAACCGGAGGTGAAATGCAGCTCCATACAAGTTGAGCTTGTGGTGACGTCATCAGTACGCTTCTGGCCCAATTGACCAAGATTTATTCTGCGTACTCCCATTCTCCCGTGGATGGCAGAACTGCCATGTATGGAAAAAAAAACAGGGCTGAGAACACGACCCTGTGGTGTGCCGCGCAAATCAGTGTAAATAACTCCTTAGAAACCCAGGGTGTGGAGCTTCTGGGCCAGAATGTCAGGAAGGAAGTCAACAGTTAGCATCCGTCACAGATGATGCTGCAGATGAGTCAGATCCATGTAAGGTACTAACTAGCCAGTGTCCTCTGTGGAGCGATCCTCAGCAGGGCCTGTCCCCAGCAGGGATCAATAAAGAGATACAGGAGGATCCTCACAATGACTGGGACCAGAGCCATCACTGAGGGAGTAGATGGTTGACTTTTGGGCACAGGCACATTGATGGAGGATTTCAGGCAGGCATTGAACACGGAAGCTGCAGGGAGAGGATGCCCAGAGAAAACCCTGAAAGTTGGGCAGAAGATTACCTGAGGGTGAGACTGCAGGTCCATCATGTCTGGACCTGCAGCCTTATAGCGTTGATCTTCCTCCTGATGAACGTCACTTGGTGCAGCTGGAGGAAGAGAGACTGATGCTGCACCTCTGGCTAAAAAATAGCAGAAGTCTATAAGAAAAATGCCTAAATATGAATGAAGTGAACACCATGTCTCTCTAATAATTAATTATCTTACTGCTGTTTTTTTTCCCAGAGTATTCAGATACCATCATGGGTGAGTTGGATGTTTAGTTTTTATTAGAAATGTTCTCATTTGTTTTCATGGAAATATTTGATTTGTTATTGTCTGTCTTTGCTCTGAATACATGACCAGAGGATCAGCATCAAGGGCCTGATTGATGGTGGAGACACTAAGGGAAAATGTGTCGGGGGAAAGGTTGTTCAGAAATCTGGTCTGCGTTCGTATAAAACCAGTGAAAAGAAGAAGTTCTTCTTCTACCTGGGAGTCGCTGATGAGACCGACTGCATCAAAGCCACGGTGTATGGAAAGGAGCATTTCCAGAAGTTTCAAGAGGGATGCTCCTACAATTTCAGAGACGTCCTCGTCGACAAGTTCGGGGGGGAAAGTATCATCAAGTACATCTTCAGCAGCAAAATTTCAAAGATTAAAGAGATTCAGGTTAGCAAGACTCTGGAGGCCCAGATGCTGATTTACAGCCAGAGTCCAGTTTACTCCATTGACAAGATCCAGTCCCTTGAGGAAAAGACAGCAGTGAGTGTTGAAGGAACTGTGACCGAGGTGAGAGATGTTCACTTAAACACCTTCAGAACATCAGCTTTATGGCTTTCATTGTTTTTATTACACTTTACGCTAAAAATGTTTCTGGTGTTGCTTTATTCATTTATTGGTTTCATCAGATTATCCCAGTAAAAAAAGTAAAAGTGACGGGGAGACGGGCCAAAGTAAAGATAACCAGGTTCCACCTCAAAGATGAAACCGGTTCCATCTGGATCACGCTGTGGTGCAAGGATTCTGAGCAGCTGAAAGGAAAGTCTGTTGGAGACTTTGTCAGGGTGATCAATACGAAGACACACCGGTACTATGAGACGGTTTCCCTGAACTCCACTGACTTCACCAGAATCATCACGGTACCGTTTATCATCTCGTCTTTTTATACTTAATCAGAGCCAATGAGATCCAGACCTGAATCAAGGTATAAAACATTATCTGTTTATGTGACAGAAATATATAGAAATTACGTTGAAGAAAACTGACATAATTTTCAATATGGTCAATATAGTTTCTGGAGAGAAAATAATCAGAAAGTGTTGCATCCTTTTAAATTCAGCTCAGTCAGACACAGTGAAGACAGGTAGCTGTAAAGATAATAAAAGAGGGGAAAGATGATAGTTTTCAGAAGTTAAACTACAATAAATCTGTTAATTTTCCTGTTAGATGTTTGTTTGTTTTTTTGCTAAGAAAAATCTTTTGTTTTGGGGTATTTATTCCCACCACCTGCTTGACTAGAGGTTAAGTTTGGTAAACAACTTCACAAAAATCATTGGGCCTGATTTAAATAAATGTTGAGGTAGGAGGCTCAAAATATACCTAGGATGCTTTTTACAAAACAAACCCCTGGGATTTAAATAGAATAGAATTCAACTTGATTGTCATTATACTGTCACAAGTAACAAAATCGTTTGCAGTTTAAAAGGGGTTAAGGTCGCTCACAGACAAATTAAAATTCATACTCACTGTCTTCCGCTTATATGGGTAGTTGTCTCAGCAGAGACTTCCAGTCTTTCTTTCCACACGCGCGTCCTCCAGCTTCCGTGGAAAACACCTGAGGTGTTCCCAGCCTAGCTGGGAGACAAGGTCTCTCCAGCTTGTCCTGGGCCTCCTCCCAGTGAGATATCTGATACCTGAAGATATCTCATCCTCCTTAGCTCAATCCACCGAATGTGGAGGAGAAGCTGCTCTACTCTGAGCCTCTCTCAGATGACCAAGCTCTTCACCCTACCTCTAAGAGAGGGCATTTAATGTGTGATATGTTTGATCGTCGTACTCAGCTACAGCTCACACTATACGACAAAACTGCAGGGTTTTAAAAAAGAATGCTGTCTTAAAGTCTGTTTTTTTTTTTTGTTATCTTATGCAGGCCAGTTAGTTATACGTCAGCCTGAACACCTAACTTCGGCCAATCGTATATCAAAAGTCATCTGTCAATCAAATTTTTTTGGTCATTGCATCTTGATTCATGTGTCGCAGCTAATATACTCAACGGTTGAAATAAGAATCATTTCCTTTCCCATGGAGTTTCGTCCCAGTGTTCACAGGGATGGACGTCTGTGTCTTCAGCAGGCGTAGAGCTAACAGAACTGGCAGCGTTGCGAGGCAAGGGCTCAGACACGTACGGCTGGAAGCCTTCTACGCCAAACCAACAAACATCTACGTCCCGCTTTCCTCCTCTAAATAAAAAATGTATTATGGAGGCGACTCATCCATGACCTCTGACACTAAACTCTCCTCCTCTTGCATGTTTCCTCTGTCCATAGCGTTCCTTGACAGTGTTGTTTCTAAGTCACCAATTTAGTGCTACTTGGTCCCAATGGAATTTTCCATTGGGAACCTACTAGCACTAAGTTGCTAACTGGTTAGCAAGTTGCTTCCGACAAACCGGCCACAACCAAACTGCTTTTGAACCTTCCGCCACAACAATCCCGCCCTCTTGATAGACGACCGATCACATTCACTTTATTAAATCGTGTAAAGTTGTGCACCACTCGGGAGAATTCAGAAATGCAATGGTTGGAGCAGCCGCTTCCCTACGACTTTAAATGTTCACACCTAACGATGCATGTTCTTCTGTACGGCCTGATGCTCTGATGTGACCTGACTGCTCACACTTTACGTCCAAAAACCACACGTCTGAATCCTCACCGAGAGATGGCGCTGGTCGGACTCGTCAATCTGGAAGCCAAAAATTAACAGTAGAAGAAGAAGAATTTCCTCGTTTGCACATGCACAGTGTGCGAGGTTCTGGTAAATCAGCTCGTAGCTCTGCTTCAACAGCAGGATTTGCCCACGAACACCTCACAAGGGTGGACTGAATTTCAGACATGTTTGATTTTCTCCTGACCTTACGATTCCTGATCGGGACGTGGTTGTGAGATGCAAATCGCCCCTCGTTCTGCACTGTATACTACACCACACAAGACTCACGGTGGATCTAAAACCCCATCCGAAAAAATTCTTGCATGACCGGCGAATTGCCCCGAAAAGGGCAAAAACTAGTACAGTGTATTCCCACCCAAAAAAACAGCCCAGCCACCCTGCAGAGGAAGGTGATTTCAGCCGTCAATAATTGTCTTTCCATGAGCAAATTTGAGGGTAGTAATGTAGACCGACTGATAAATCTTTATATTAGCTGACAGCATTACGATGGACATCACACCAATCTGTTGACAGACAATAATCTCTGCTTTAGCCGTTTTTAACTAAAGGAGAGAATGAAATGATTTGACAGAACATAATAAACAACATTTTTACACATTTTTATCGGAATAAAAATACTAAATATATAGTTATATTACATTGGGGATATTCCTTATGACACAGTTACTAACAAACCCAAGCAATCTGTCTTTGTGCTGATCCAAATGTCCTGTTTATCTGTTTTTGTCCAGATCCAAGAAGCTGATGTCCAGAATGTCACCATCCAGGTTGTAGGGATCATAGAATGTAACCAGGAGGAGTCTGAGCTAGACGTGGAGATCAATGAACAGGTGCAGACCTGCACAGTGGCCTCTCCTCTCCTGGCTAAAGTTCTTGGTATCAACCTGAAGGACGACTTTGAGGACAAACTCCTTGAGAAAACACCAATTTCAGCCGAAGCAGAAATCAAAGGAAACAAGATCATTCAACTTAAATTTATTAAAGAAGAGGAGACCAATTTGGAATCTGAATAACTGCTTTTTGCGTTATAAACCTAATCAGAGAGCATTTTTTAAACTCATGTAGTTTAATTTATTATTATCTTGTGTTGCCTCTTTCTTACTCGAAACATTTGAATGAGTTTTTATATATTTATATTATGTTTATATAATTCTGCCATTTCATTCTATGAGCTTGAAATTCTCAACAATCTCAGCAGCTGAGAGGACGTTTTTGGTTATTATGAAATCCAATGTTCTGGAAAAATCCTGTTGGAATTAAAATGCACTGAAGTCTTATTAGAGATTTTGTATTTATTCTGTTCTTTCATGTAATGCCTCAGTTCACTAAGGCCAAAACACTGTCAGTTTAGGGTTCTTTTAGAATGAGCCAACAGAGCCCTGTGTTTGCAGCTTCTCTTGAGGTCTGTAGCTTTAACCATATCTGTATTGCTCTAAACTGTACAATACCCAGCTGTTAAGAAGGTTTGGTGGCTTGTCAAACCTGTTAAGAAACTGGTTCAGATCGTTAACCCACTTCAAGTCTCCATCAGCCTGGGTGTTCTGAGTTTGGCCTGAGATTGTCTTCATGCTTTTCCAGATCCCTCTAATGTTGTTCTGCTGCAGTTGAACCTCCATCTTCTTCTCGTAGATGTTCAAACTCTCACCTCGAGCTCTCAACTCGAATAATCTGGCACTGATGGCTGGGGCCAAAACAGTTTAAGTAGAAACTAGAACATGTGGATCTGATGAAAGGTAATAAAAACTCAGCAGAGCTAGGCAGGTAGATGGACTGAACCAATAATCCAGTCTTCAGTGCCAAGATCACGACAGTTTCATGTACTTTTCATAGACAACTATGAGATATATGACACTAAAATGAGACCTGGCAAAGGATGTATTTTCACAACTTTGTTTTTTTCACACTGTTCCTATCTGGAAAAAGAGGTGGATCTTATCGGGAAGAAAATCCTTGCTTAGCAGTGACTGGGTTGAGAGAGGTGTTTAGTCGATTAATCTAATGGATCTTTTTCTTTTTTACAATGATTTTGTTTAGGATTTTCATGTAAATTATATCAAACAAGAACACTCAATGGTGGTAAAAGTCATTCCAAAAGGCATGGTTATGGTTGTTTTATGACAAAACACCTATTTTCATTTCCTTGTCTATACATGGTATTCATTTTTATCACAATAAAATTATTAACAATGTTATACATGGTGCCCTTACATCGAAGCTTTTCCTTTACACTTAAAAAAGGATACATTTATTAAAAGACTACCCAAAATAGATAGTTCTTAGGATAAGGACTGGCTACTTCTGTTATGGTTCTCCCCTTTTGGGACTCTGAGCCTTTAGTTTTCAGTTATTCTGCTTTGTTGATATGTGGTTTATTTTCCGTTATATTCAAACAGTCTTTAGTTTCTCTCTGTTGCCTCCTTGTGCTTTTTTACTTTCTCCTTGGCTTCCTTCTATTAAGTTCCACTCACACCTGCTCTTTATTCAGCTCATTAGTACATCCTTTGTTCTGTTCCCCTTATATACACCACCTCAGCAGCCACTCCCTGATGTTTTCTGTTTTTTGGGTTCTTTGTATTTTTGCATTTTTGGATGTCTGCCTCAGTTGTCCTATTAAATCAACAGGAACTTATCTCTGCTTCACTCATCTCTGCATTGGGGTCCTCAAGCAACTTCACCCCCAGTGCTGACAACCTCACTCTTCTCATAGCACCTCAAGTAGTGGTGGGTATAGATTCATTTTTTAAATCTAGATTAATCTCACTGTAATCTTGGAAGTAATCTAAATTAAAATTGCTCATTTAAATTCTGCCAAAGCCACTCATGATATATTTGTGCAAACTCCAGAATTTAAAAGAAAAGGTTTACTTTTTATGTTTGCAAAATAACACATAGTATTGTCTACTTACTTAAAACTTTGACAAAGTTCTAAATACTTTTTTTCTCTTTTGTTACCGTGTCTTTACATACAGTTACAGTTTTACTTGAGCACATTGGATGACATCTTCCTCTTGGAACTTCCCGTATCCTCCATTTTAACTGAGCAAATAATTAGGAGCACACCAGGATACTACCCGTGACGATAAAGGACTAATAACATAACTTTGAGGTTTGTCTTTTTTTTATGGCAGTAAATCATTTATCTAAAATTGTTGCAGAGCACATTCCTTTTCTTTGATGCAACAGTAAGATATTAAAGCATGCTTCGATGCTTCATTGTAGTTTGCCAGGAGGTTTTTGACAAAAAGCCAAATTAAGAAGATAAAACAAAACAAAAAAACAAAACTGCTGCATCATTTTTTTAAAGCCTGAAAGCTGGGGGTAACTTTTCAATTTGCTGCATTACACTTTGAGGTGGATCCTCCGACCTAACATCGAAATCGAAAGTACATGTAAAAGTAGTTCTGAATATCTTCTAATTAGCGCATGAGAAATTCAAAATAACCACAGGGGTTTGATGAGTTCCAACATTTACTAATTAAACCTCAAGGCGGTTGGATTCGGTATTTCAAAATTATTCTCGGTGTTTCCGTAACATGAGTTAAGTTATTAGGTCAGTGAGAGGTTTGATGTCTCATTTCTAATTTTGTTTGTCACTGTCTACAGATCTATAAAGACTCCACAGAAAGGCTGTGAGAACAAGACGGTTGTCTTTCTGCTTTTGTCTTTTGTTTTCAGCTTTCAGCTAGTACTTCAAGTATTTTCTGGGCTGAACCTTTTCCTTGTGTCATATTTAAGACCTATTACATACAAATATTGCAGACGAATGGACCCATAGGTAATTTCCCATATTTTTCTAACCAAGTTCTTGAGTAGTATGAAATATCTTGACCAGAGAGAACCTTTTTCTTACCATCTCAGAAGTAAAACTAAAAATGGAAAAGGACATAGAATAAAGTAGCTAAAGCTACAGCTAGTAAAATGACAAGTTACTGTTGTGTGACTACTGTGTCCTGGTTAATATTTAGTAGTCAGACAAAGGATGTAGTTTGTGGTTATCCTAATAGTTATTATCATGTAAGCTACATGATAAACCATAATACAGATAAATTACACAACTTGAGTTTAAATGTTTTGACTCTGTTATAACACCATAGTGCTGTTGTGATGTATCTGATAGGTCTGATCAGATGCAGGATACAGCCAGTAACTGATGCCCAAAAAGTATACTATTAGAAAAGAAAATGTTAACCTTCTTTATGTGGTTTGACTAGTGATGACCATGGGTAGGTCAGTCTCCCATTAATTCCCTTTTACATGTAATGATTTATGAGTGCTTAGTTTCATTCATCACGCCTCAGAGCTGCAAGGCTACAAGGTGTCTAAAGGAGAGGGGTTGCTTATCCTATAAAGGAGTGTTTCAGATTAAAATTATGGTTCTTATGGTTATTTCATAACATTATGAGTTATTTCCAACTATCTGTCTTTGGGTAATGATATGTGGAGATCTTCACAGACTTTCTGCAGGGTTTTAATTAGTGAGACAAACATTGTCTAGATCAGAATAGGGCAGAACATCATACTGAGAGGGCTGTTATGATTGTCTTGCAAAGTCAAATATAGTGTCAACTGAGTAAAATCCATTGATCCCTATTTATTTAACTGGAGTGTATAGTTGAATACCACTAGAGGCCATAAAGACTTCTTCTGACCACCAATGTAGTTTCTGTGGGGAAAAGTACTGCAGGCAGACATAAGTTAATCAGAGTCAATCTAACTCTAGAGAGCTTTCACATGTACTGTAAGCATTAATTGCCCTAATGCAATACGAATAAATAATATTTAACAATCTGTAGTAAAGAGACACTCTTTTCTTTACTTCCTTCTCCAACTTAATGACACAAAATATGTCTCTAAACTCAGAGAAGCTACTTATCCATAGGTATTCCTGTCTAGTGCAGATAATTATGAACCCTACAGGAATCTGAAAAACAATTCTCAATTGAATATAATCAATAATGGCATTTTTTTCAACTGTCTAAGAACTGAAAAGCCACTTTTTGCCCTTTTTTGTTTTAAAGATTTGATAATAATTCAGGTCAAAAGAAGATTGTAATACTCTGCATTCATCTATATTTAAAAATGCAGACACATAATCATCATTATCGTTAAGATTTAGACCTGTTAACTAATAATAATCTCTTCTAGCAATCAAGTTTGGAAAACATTTGTGAGGCTCAAAAGTTCATTCTTAAAGCTCTTAGATCAATATTTTGGACCAAACATCCGTGCATTTCTGCTTTCAGACATGTTCTACAGCTCAGACTGGAAATCAACTCTTATTTCCATCATCGAAGAACTTGATGCTTCAGAGTTTGAAAAGATGCTGGAATACCTGGAAGAGATTCCAAAATCCAGGAGAAACCCAAAGTCGAGGATCCAAATGGCCCAGAAAATCATTGAGCAATATGGCGAAGAGAGGTCCATCTCTGAAGTCAGTCGAGTGATGGATCTTATACCAAGAAGGGATTCTACAATACAGAATCTGCTGCAGCCCTTTATTGATAAACTAAAGTCTGGATTGGGAAAAGACAAAATGGGTGAGTTCTCACTTATGCAGTTTTAACAACGCACCAGGCAAAACAACATGGCCCCTGGCTAGTGATGAACAACAAGATAACATCATGATCAAAACCTGGTCAGAACAGATCGACCAACAGCAGAAGGGGGACTGGGTCAGGGGTAACCACAACTCATTGTTGCAGATGGGAATTGAAGGACCCTTTGGTCCAATCCCTCAGACCTATAGTTGTGGATGCAACAGTAAGGAGTATATGCTGGTTTTGACAGAAAGGTGCCACAATCCAAAACGTGTTAGTTTGTTGTAGATGGGGCAGCAGACCAGTCAGGGTGCCCATACCAACCATCTCCACCACCAAACTGGGCATCAGAGGAAAATAGTACGTTTTATTCCCTTTGTACAGGTAGAATATGGTGAATTGACTTTTGTGAGTTTAAGTTGGGGTTAGGGTTAGGTTTGAACCAGTAATAGTTATGTTTAGGGTAAGGATCACAGAGTCAGGCTGTAGACATGGGTTAGAAATAAATGGAAGTATATGGAGAGTCCCCAGAAGGAAAAACAATTGTCTGTGGGGGTATGTTTGTATGTGTGTGTGAATGCAGTGATGTTTTTGTGTTAAGATCTGCCATTCTAGGATTTTTGGTTCTGTTTAGTTTTCACTTTGGGTTTTCAGTTTATGTTTATTCTTTTTTTACTGCTGAGAGTTATGTCATTTTTGAATTACTTCATAGTTTTAATATTCTCGTTTTGTGTTTTTTTTAGTCCAGTCCATTCGCCTATCCTCTAGTTTTTCCCTTGGTCATTCTTTATTTTCTAGTCATTTTTCTTATTTCCTCTTTTGTACATTTAGGTTATTTTCTACTTTTAGTTAAGCCCTGTTTACTCATTGTCATCTCTCTTTCCCGTTAGGCCAGGCAGACACTGTGCGATATTTTCAATCACTGTACTCAGCTACAGCTCAAACTGTATGATGAAAATGCAGAGTTTAAAAGTTCACGATGCATGCTCCCACTGTACGTCCAAAAACCACACATCAGACTTAGTGCTGATAGATGTTGCTTGTCAGACTCTTCAATCTGGAAGAAGAAAAAGAAGAGCTCCTTTGTTTGCACATTCACAGTGCTTGAGGTTCTGGTAAATCGGCTCATAGACGCTTGTAACTCAGAACCTTTCCAACCTTACCAGGGCTAACTGAATTTCAAACATGTTTGATTTTCTTCTGACCTTCCTGAGTGGGAGTTGGCCATGAAAGACTAATCGCCCTTTGTTAACCCCCTGTATACTACACGACGCAGGATGCACAATGAGGCTGAAACTCGGCCGGATCAAAATTTTGCTCGCACAACTGGAGAATCGGCCTGAAAAGAAAAAAATCGTACAGTGTATGCCCAGCTCCAGCTGATTCAGTTCATACCTGCTCCGATTTACACTACACTCATTGTTCTGTCTCCCATAAATATTCCTCCTCTGCAGTTCTTCAGTGCTGGATCATCTTCATTCCTCATGCATGTTCTTCTCTGGCATCTCCTAATTTTAGAGCCTGAGTTCCCTGTCTATAATTTTTGAATTTGTGCATTTGTTACCATCTATCTCTACGTTAAATCTGCAAGAAATTATCTCTGCCTTTTTGTCTCTGTATTTGGGTCCTCAACAAACATCCACTTAACCTAACAGTGGAGACAATTTCCCAGAAATATGCTTGAGATTTATAAGTAATTGTGGGTACCAGAAACTGGTCCCCACAAGGAAATGTCCTTTTATTGGAATGGGGGTTAGGTTTAATACTAAGGTATTCATTAAGTTTAGGTAATATTTAGAGTTAGGCATATGTTGGTAATGGTTACATTTAGGGTAAGGGAACGGGTCAAGGTAAGGCCATA